AGTCCCATTGCTAGCAATATATCCTGACAGTTCGACCACCACGTGGTCCTTCATGGAAACCGTCGTGCTGAATTCCAGGTGTATTCATCACGATGAGCTAACTGACCTGCCTTTTCATTCTCACTTATCATGCCTCACTAGTGCCTTACCAGTGTATATCGTTAGCGCAGGCGGGGTTACCATTTCATTATCATCCTTTAAAATAAATCAAAACAAACAAAATGATTGTTTCATATAGAAGGATACCAGCTAAAATTTGAAATTCAATCGAAAATAATATAAGTTCTTATTCTACTTCGATCAGCAATAACAAGATTCACAGTTACCATATACGATTTTTTGCTTACCACGTGATTTGTTTAATATTATTACAGAGATAATGTACTTGCCACTTCCTTGTCAAACAGGAATTTATTTGCTTATATTTTGATAGCATGTAACTACTAATATAATTTAGCAGTATCAATTATCAATGGTATGGTACTATATGGTATCGGTGATTGTATTATATCTTTCTACACAATAATCTATGATCATCTTTACTAGTTCATGACTTAACGTATATTGTTTATTAAAATGGTGTTCAACTCCTAACAATTTTATTGCAACACATGTAGTGAGGGAGAAGGGATTGTTATTAATGCGAACTACCAGTCCCATTGCTAACAATATACTCTGTCAGGTCGACCTCCCCGTGGTCCCCTCTGGAAGCCATCGTGTTGAATTCCAGATCTATTCATCACGATGGGCTAACGGACCTGACTTTTTATTCTCCCTTATCATCCCTCAGTGGTGCCTCGCCAACGTATACCGTTAGCGCAGACGATATGAGAGATGGGGTTACCATTTCATTATCATCCATTAAAAATACATGGTATGATATGTATCATATACGTATTTTAAGATGGTAAACTACATTAGTCTGTTACTATATCCACTATTTCTCATCAAAAATTCTACAAATTGCCTTAAAGACACACCTAAAACTGGTACTTAACAATTTTATAGATAAATATGCGAATATAATATTGAATATTGCAATATAATATAAGTATGTGATAAATTTGTACCGCTTTGTGTATTTTATGAATTATGATATACTCAATATACTCACTTGCATTATTGCAATATTATGGTAGTTTTGCAACAATTCATTCGAATAGTCGGCAAGATTTGCAAAGATAACGCTAGTGCGTGAGACCCGAGTTTGCTTACGTTGAGAAACCATCTCATCGTATCATTGCGTAGTACTCACTAAGTAATTATGAACACATAGTGCATGTTTTGCTTATCTCCACACGAATCAAATACTAATTGTGTTTATTTAATTTAAATATTTTCTACTTATAAAACTGTAACAAAATTGCATTTAAATGTATACTAATGCAAGTGTAAATTTTTTTTTATAATTTGTGTTTCTACTAATAATTAATTTAAAAAGTATAGGTTTTATACCTAAAACCAAGAATAAACCAAGTTCAATATTATTTTATTAGTTAAATTTTAATATTATTTTTATCATTATATAAATTTACTTCTAATTACACCAAAATACACAATTGACGTCATTAGACATCAATCGAGTTCGATGTTCGAATGTATATTTTTGTACGTATCATATGCGATATCTTAGCTCATTATAAAACAATTTATGTCTCTAAACTCTGAAACGAATTTCACCTACAATCAATTTATTGAAAAATTAAATTATTATTCGACTGAACAGTACCAACGTCTTACTGAAAATTAATCTTTTTTAATTAAGTGTTCTATAGTAATGTATAATTAATAATCAGTCTTTTTGCAAAAAATCAGTATCATTCGATATCGGCCCTGTGCAAGTACATTAGCTGCGCAATCATTGTTCATGCTTTTTACTTGACTGCCGAAGGTTAATGTTTTTCGCATGTTTATGAATATGAGCGAGTGCATATGTGCGTATGTACACACGTAGCGACTTAACGACACAGGCGATGTTGACAGTCGAATGAGGTTGGATGACAGGTTTTATTTTTCAGTTATGAGTGACGTTGCTAGGCAACGTTACAAAATTGTTGTGTTTGTATTATTAATTTTTGTTATCTGTATCATTTTTTTTATGTTATGCTATAAAGTCAATTTTTAAAATTTCAAAACAACAAAAAAATTTAGTACCCATCAAAGATATAAAGAACAAAAATATGTCAATGTAAACATACATATAAATAAGTACCTAAACATGAAAACACCATCCACTTCCTCAAATAGTGGTTAAGTATTAAAATAAAAAAAAGTTTATTTTTATTTATTTTAATACTTTATTGTACACAATAGTTATATAAATATGACAGAGGTAAACAAAAATACAAAGGCGAGCTTAACTCTGATAGAGTTTTCTTCCAGCAAACCCAAAGTTTATATTTTTTTTTTATATTGTAGGTACATATATCGACTCTCTATTAGATAAACTGTCAGCTTGTTTGCCTTTCTAAGTGTCATAATAAAATAATAAATAATAAAAAAGTATGCCTCCAAACCTTGTAATTTTATTCTGTATCATCTCCGAGAAACATTAGTTCAACACCAATAAAGCTGACAATTATTAGGTTTTTCTTGTAAAAAATTATCTCAAATCATTTCAAATTCGAAAAATCGTTACTTATCTAATAGAATTATGTGTTACTATAAACATGGTACTATATATTAGTGCATAACAAGGCACCTAGCTATCTGCATGAATATCTTTAAAAGGTTCATAATAGTCATTCAAATATAACTTAACAATAGCTTAGGGTTGAAACATGCACACATGTCATCGAATAACTTCCATTAATTATGATATTAGCATTCTACGTGAGTGCGTATAATGGAAGGTATGACTACAATAAATTGACGAAAGCATGATTATATCTATATAACATATAATCTATGATTATATTATATTGACTAAAAATACATGCAGTCTTTTGAGCATCGGTAGTATCTTTTGACTTCTACTTATTTTGGTTCGGAAAAACAATCTTATAATAGAATATAAAATAAATATGCTCACGACTGTAACGCACATGAGGACATGTGGTAGTCAGATGCATTTGTCGAATATAATAAATGTGACAAACGTAACACATGATATGCTCACTTCCACCCATTCCTTTCTTGTGTCGTAAGAGCCGACTAAGGAATCTTAAGAATCGAGGAATGGGCAGAAGCGTTCCTCTCAAAACATCACCAAAATCCGCTTGTCAAGCGTAGCATTTATTGGCAAAATTTTCCAATTTATGAGCAGATGCCTATGTTCAGCAGTGGACAAATAATGGCTGATATGATGATATATAAAATTTCAAGCTGAAATTTGTTTATTATTTATGTATCATTGCAAGAGGTTTTGGTGTAGACCAAGTTAAACTCACCAAATTTGCAGTCCATAATTCGGAGTTTACCATTGAACAAATATAATAATGCCATGTGGTCCCGGCATAGAATGGATCACACTTTCCTTTCCCGTGGACGGTCGAGAAATGGGGGCAGCAACATCCCTCGTAAAATATTACCGAAACCCAAACTGCGTTGCCAATCCACCAAGCACGGCAACTAGCAGCTAACCCCCTCCCCACTCCTTATGAGGAGAAGCCCACATGATAATGATAATGATGAAATATAATAAATGAATTAAGTTAAAAAATATTAATGTATTCGACGAACGAACGAGGGGAATTTGATTCGCACCTGATTATTTTTTAGATCACTACCCATGTCAAATGAACGATTAAATAATACGTCTGACTAAATAAAATAATAATGTCTTTTTATGTTTAATATTTGTCATTAATCTAGACTTAATATTAATAAAATTAATAAAATTTTAATCGCTCCATTTTATTACTCAAAAGCGCTTAATAACCTTGAACATTGGAAGCATTTGCGTAACTTAACATTGAATTTAATATTTAGCCTTGACTCTATAACTTTTATTAACGACCAACTAATTGTTTTCTCTCAGAAATTTGCGTAAATATGAATGTTGAAATAGAAATATTATTAAAACATGTTAACCGTATTCTAATAACTCATGGGTGTTGATACTCAACACACAAATTTTAGAATATGAGTTGTTATTTGCGCAGTTATTGGGTTTTTCTACTATTTTTTTTTAAGTGAATGTATAATTGATTCTCATATAATATTTATTGTGTATCCACGATAAGTGTTGATTAAGCGAGCAAAGTCACAATAAATTAATAGTAAAGTATTGGAGAATTAAGGACAAATCTATTTCATGAATATATATGACTAGCTGGTTCCAACTCTGAACCCTTCTCTTCTTGCAAAAAAAAAAATATTATTTCTATTTCTAAATATCATCTCTATTAAATTTACAGGTTACAGCTCAATGCATAGAACCTGTTGTGTGGAGTTGAAAATTATGAAATATATAAGCTCAATTTTTTTTTTATTTATAAATCCATACAAAAATTGAAAAATGTCTCTTTATAAGAATAAGGTCCCTATGAAGTTATTTTATACCTATTAGAGATGACGTTTTTAGAAATGGTGATACCTAAGCTAAACACGTATTACTTATTTGTAACTAGGCATGTTCGTGACTTTATTCGCGTGGCCGGGACTTATTAATGAGCAGGACAAAAAGTAACCTACGTCCTTCTTCGCTCCAAATCGCTACGTGTATGCCAAACTTGATGATCGATTTTGTATTGGTATCAAAGAAATAAACACACATTTATAATACCAACCATATTCTCCCGGTTGTCTCACGTGAATTAGGATGAAAAGTATTGCGTGTTAATCCAGTATACTTATACTCTATCTATTTATCCAATTTTATCCCATCAACCATTTAAATGTAATTATATAACAATTATTTTTACGAACTTTCATATTTTTAGATTATGTGACTGGCTGAATCTAGCGGCTTTATTAGCGTAAATTAGATTAAAAGTATTTTTATTTTATTTAGAAATATTTCTAATACGCAAACATAAAAACTATAGTAGATTACATACCTTGTTTATTTATGTCCCATAGCACGACGGTGCATCCGAGTCGCGCTAATCTCAACGCTATGAGGCTGCCCAAGCCTCCACCACCACCAGTCACTAAAGCAACACCGCCTTTCAGGTCCTTTTTCTGATAGCCCACAATAAATCTATATATGGCCCTAATTATATAACCTATCGTGACTATAACAAACACTATAAGATCTATAATGGATTGCACGACGGTGTATTTGTCTCTCATACACTCGGGAATCTCCCTAGTTAAAGGCCCAGGTCTCTCGCCATTCATGTACTCTTGAGCAATTGTAGACATTTTGAATTTTGATGTTACTTAGTTTTTTTACAACGAAAACAAAACACTAAGCATCACTTTTTCACATCGCCACCTTTCACTGCCGTTTAACGTCTTCTCTGTGCTGATTTCTGTAAAGAAAAAAAAAACTGGTTGTATTTATTGTGTTTACCTGAAAGCATTAAAATGCTAAATGGGTAGATATAAAAAATATAAATGAGTTGAAAATAGTAACTATCGAGTTCAAGTTCTAAGCAGATAACCACATTCCGAATCCAGAAGTAGAATCATAAAAAAATATGATTTAAAAGAGCTTGTAAACAAGTCGAATAGAAATTATTTCTATTTTATTCTATACTCACAACTGTAACTAACAATGAGATAGATTCAGTCTTTTGTGGACTGCCGCCGTTCTGTCAGTCAAATGAATATGTTAATACTCGATATGTCCAAATTTTGTCAAGCATATTATAAGTCAATGTGGCAGAAATGTTATCACTGTTGTCTATCATCGGAGAATAGCCGAAAAGTTTCTACAAGTTTTTTGATATTATATATAACTGATATTGAGACTATTTATAATCCCAAGTTAGGTTACTGGATATAAATGCAAAGTGTATAAAGATGTTAGAATGTTTAAATATTTGAATGTACGTTATTCATTGCTGAATGGATTTGAGAAAATTTATAGTGCGCCTTTGTTATAGATGGCCTCCAATGTGGCTTATTTTTCATTAAAAAAAAATAACTGTTCTAAGAAAATATATGCTTGTTTTAACAACACCATATACTGCAACATATTTTACTCGTAAATGTATTGTATTGGCAAATATCCAATATTATTTTAGGTTCACCGCACAAACTTAACATGCTGCTTAATTTACATAAAATATAATTATGCTCACATATATCTTAGTTTTAGAATGTAGTAACTTACATACATAAGTATTATATGAGTTTATGTTTTTTTTTAAATAAACTCCTAAAAATAAACAAAGTTTTAATATTTTTTAATCAATTTAGGATGGCAAAGAAGTTGACGATCCATTCGATGAAAAGCGGTAACCATTGCATATATATAGACTTATACAGCGCTATGCATATGACCGAATATGCTAACTTAGACTGCAGACTAGAGTATTTGCTAATATTTGAAGATTTTAGTTGATTAAATAGATATTAGTATTAACAAGGTAGTGATCAATATGAAGGCATTAAATGTTCTATGTACTAATAACAGGTTATCGAGGTCAAATTCAAAAAGAAGAATAAAAATATGAAAGAGAAATGAAATGCAGAAAATTTAATAGATATTTTATAAAATATTTTATCTGAAATCAACTACATTTACCAATCAACCGTATTTATTTATTTATTTATTCTATATTGACAACATTACAAAAAAATATTAATATATGGTGGTTGGCTGGTAGAGAATGCCATCAGGCATTAAGTCGGCCTTGTAGACATTTTTCAATGTGTGCAAAAGTATAAATAAATAAAATACTGACTTAATGCATTCTCTCCTAGACAACCTTTAGCAAAACAAAAATATACGGTAAATTTTTTTTTAAATTTTTGTAGATAAACAGTTTCAGTAGTATATATGTTGACTCACAAATTATATAATACATACAATGGAGAACTACTGCACATTATGATTATATAAATATACTTACATGAATACATTAAACAAATATTACTTTGCATATACAAATATAATTCATAAAACATACATACAAATACGATAGTATATTATAATACTAATAAAGCAACAATAGAGATCAAAGGTGATGATGATGTTGATGAACTACTTTCACAGTTTCTTCAGATATGATCTTTAGACATTCGTCGACTTTTTTAAAAAAAGCAAATTTATTAGACATTTATGTCAATGGGTAGCGTATTGCATAGTCATATGCTCTTTTATAAAAGATGAAGATCTCCCTGAAAAGTAATCTTATATACGCTAATAATGATATACCAAAGAAAGACTTTGTACAAAAGTCGATTGCTTGGGCACCTCTGTCCCATTCGTGAATCTACCGTGAAGCAGTTGTGTTTGCATGACTGTATTTCAGTTTGAAGGATGGGATATGGCGTGAATTTACTGGATACAGAGGAATAACACCTGAGTCCTCAGGAATGGCAACGCATGGGGGGTATCATGGGCGAAACAGTATACTCTGTTATGTTCATGGTACTGTTTATGTCTATAGGCGACAGTTACCACTTTTCATCAGGTGGGCCGTCAGCTTGTTTGCCATTCTAAGTTGTATAAAAAATAAACCTAACCGTTAATTGTACACTGATTCCGATTATTATTTTGAAATCGTCAGCTTGACGTCATTGTCACCAGTCATTTGACAAATACGCTCTTGAAAAGGAATTAAACCTACATTTATTAAGTGAATTTGATACATAAATATTACAATTTTTTTATTTCATATTCATCAGAATTAAGTGTTTTCCAGTTATGATATGAAAAGAAAGAATCTCATGACATCAAAAAATTATGCTTACATAAAAAAATATATTTATTTCGACGTAACTGCGTTGCAAAAATATGATTCGTATATAAATTTTGTTTTTACACAATTATTATTTTCGGAGATTGACATCATATCTATTCGTTATTATATTTAAAATAACATGTTATTTACTTCTCCGTCTAATTTATAATTATTAAAAAAATTGAATACTAATTATAAAAGTGAATAAATGTATTCGTAAATATACAAGACGCATCAAAAGAATCAAAGACGCAAATAAATATATTTATTTATTTAAATTTTAATGGACAATGAAACTATGTACATATAGCGGACTTAACACCGGACGGTAGTGGGTTTGGTATTCCGGTATTTATTCTATATATATACCAAATTTTATTGAAATCGTAAATATTTTATACAGATTTTATACAAATGCACGTTATTTTGATCCTGAATTGAGGATCTGAATATTATTTTTTAACTATTTATTATTATTAACTCATATTATTATAATTATTTAGATAATAAACACTAGAGAATACATTGTGACACCTATAGTACCCCTTATACTAGTTACCATTTATGAGGATAGCGTGTTATGCTAAAGTATCTTCGCATTCGGTAATTTTTTCATTATCATAAAATTCGTGTTTATTTGACCACAATCACACTTGATGTTAAGTGATGTCGTGATCTAAAATGGAATATAATGGATGCCATGTTTAAATTTTCTGACCGAAACACAGCCATGCAAGAACAGCTACGTGTATTTGATAGTATAAACACAAATGGAACAGAGGTAAGCAAGTACATGATTTTCGTATAAATTGTCCCTAGAGTTTGGCCCCGTATATCATTGACTTTTCTCCCCTTTACAACTATAGGAGTACAGTAATAATCGGGACGTTACGTGCTAGGATTATTATATAAAAAAATATTAATATATTGGACATAAAAATACGAGTGAATACAATAGTTAACACTTCTCGTATTTAAGTACGTGAACAAAGTCGAGGACACAGGTAATGCTTACACGTAAAGATTCATTGCACAACACGAAATTATACTGTTATTCATCTATTTGTACAACTCATTTGGTGTTTCGATATATTGACCTTGCTAAGTTAATAGATTCATGTAATTATAATATATCTATAATACTTCGAGCAACAGTATCAACAAAACTTAGATGTCCGGTCAATACACCAAAATAGCCAAGTGAATAACGCCTCACTTACATACAACTTGAATATAAGCCTTCCCCATAAGGGGAGTTTTGCTAGTAGTTGCCACTCTTGGCAGGCGGGTTGGCAACCGTAGTTAGGCTTTTAGAGATATTTTAAGAGAAACGCTGCTGCCATTCCGTCTAATATAAAGTTCCTTTAGTCACCTCTTACGGCATCCACAGAAAAGAAAGGGATGGCCTATTAGCCGGAACCACACGGTCAGCATTTACATAATAGGTGGAAATTTAGGTATCTAATCTATTGAATTTAGGTGTCTATGTTAATCTATTTATATTTTTTATCCAATTAGGCCATGCCATATTTGAATTAGTTCTCTTTTATTTCTTGAGAAGTTATTTGGCGATAATACTTTTAAGTGTTATTTTACTTCGTGTAATTAGTATTGTCGATTAAAGAAACAATATAAATAAAATATGTTAAGAATTTTCTAGAAATGTATAAATCAGGGTAAATAAAATTCTTATATTTATATACATTGTACCAAAAACGTGAGTAATTGAATAACTTCGATTTAAATTCGTGTTAGTGGCCGATGTCATGAGCTAAATCCAAATTAATTAAGTTATAACTATATCTATAAAAATATACAATATTCGTGAATAAAAAACCACGTTACTTTACGTTCACCACAGTGGCAATATCGACAAATGCCTCTAACCACCTCATTGCGCGACAGATGTAAATATATTTAATTTATTATTTATTTTTATTAAATAAATAACAAAGTAACATTATCAGTAAACATAGTACAAATATATAATGTTTCCAAACCATTTGCGTTATATTAAATCTCCAACACATTTGAGGTCGTCGCTCTGTCTTTATTTAAGAACACATTTCGAAATAGGTATTTTGTCAGTAATTTTAAAACTCAAAAAACGTAACTACCTAATTATTTGTGGTAAGTTGTTTACAAAACCAAAGAACAAAATGAAATTAACATTCTTCTGACATTGGTCTACATATGAAAAATAATAGACATTTGTAGCCATTAAAGTTGATTATTTTGTTTTGAACAAAAAAAATTTGCAATAAATTTATGTACTTAAATGCCTATAATAAGTAGAATATTATTACATAATTTATATTTACAGCAGCCTACGGCTGGGATTGATATATCGAATATACGATTTTATAACGGTTGAATAAAAAATAAAGTAATTTATGTGGTCTACAATTCATTTAATTTTTTGTTAACATCTATAAAGTTAATATCTAAGTAATGTATGATATGAAATAGAAAGAACAATATAAATATATAAACATATCGCAAAGTAATCCATGATTTTTACATGATCTGTTCTTTTAAACAGAAATATGATAAGTTTGTATTGTTTATATTTTTTATTTTGACCTTATGTAATTTTTTCATTAACCGACTAACTGAAC